GGCCCGGGCAGTCTGGGAGGGCTCTCAGAGGGCAGGATTTGGAGCAGAGATGGGGGGTGGGCCAGCATGTGGCCCGGGCAGTCTGGGAGGGCTCTGAGAGGGCAGGATTTGGAGTGGGGGTGTGGGCTGCAGCGAGAGGGGGTGATGCTGAGTCCACCCTCTGGCCTCAGCTCTGGGGTTTCTCTTAGGACACTCCTCATCAGAAAGAGAGTAAGGTCTTGTGGCTGCCCCGGTGGGCCCGGGGAGGGATGTTGGCTCTGCCGTGCTTATGAAGGATGACGCCCCGTCTCCCAGGGCTGCAAACGTTGTTTCTCCCTGAAGGTCCCCCTTGGCCACTGTGAACCTCAGCTGGGGCACCTTGGTTATTGTTCACTGGTGATACCGCCAGCATGAAGCTTTCCTAGTTAGAAACCAGCAGCTGTCCGCAGCTCACTGGTCCGTGGGGGGCTGGACCTCTCCTGGGAGGGTGGAGCAGTGGTCATGACATTAACCCGATAGCTCCTTGTTTAATGTGGAATTTTAGAAGTTCTTGGCTCAAATGGACGCTGTATGTCTGAGTGGCAAACAGAAGGGGTGTGCATGTGTGTATTTGATCTTTTACATATTTCATGAGCACTTACGGTGTGCAATGCTAGGTGTTTTGGGCGACCCAAAATAATAAGAGCAGCAGCCCCTGCCCTGCCCTCTGGATAGTGGGCAGAACCTTAGGTTTGCAGGTAGAGGGGCCCACTGCTACTCGGGGCCCCATCACTGGCCCCCACCCATCACAGTCCCCTTGTGTGTGCCAGTGTGGTCCATGCACACTCGGAGCAGGGCATGCTCAGTGGGCCGTGACTGGTCAAAAGGTGGAGGGAGGAAGGTGTTGAGAAGTGACTCCTGGCCTCCCCTGAGCTAAGCTGGGAAGACCCAGGTTCAGATCCAGGCTCTGCTACCTGCACTTCTCGTGATTCTCGGCAAGTTGGTCGGCAACCCGAGTCCCCCACGGGCTCGTCCCTGACACAGGATGGCCTCCCTCCTCTCAGGTCTGTAAGGTGTGTGTGTGGCCGTGTGATGCACATGTGCTCAGTAAGCCCCAGGGAGTCGCCATGTCCACCAGGACAGACAGTGCAGTGCCCGTCAGAGCTCCTGGCGTCTCCTTCTGAGCTCTAAACTCATAATTTTCCATTACAGTAAGCCAAGGGGCAAAGTGGTGCCCCCAGTGGGGGTCACCTCTACGTGAGGTCCAGACCAATGAAGGAGCCCACGTCCTGGCCGGGGCCAGTTCTTACTGCCCCTTTGAGCACTAATGGGGGACCAGGCAGACCCACGTTTGGAGTGTCTCCCCCATTGTGTAAAATAACAGCCTGGCATATAAAACTCCTGGAAGAAAATATAGGCAGTACACTATTTGACATCAGTCATAAAGGGATCCATGTCTACTCAGACAAGAGAAACAAAAGAAAAAATAAACAAGTGGGACTTCATCAGATTAAAGACCTTCTACAAGGCAAATGAAACCAGGATCAAAATGAATAGACAACCCACCAGCTGGGAGAAAATATTTGCAAATCATATATCCGAGAAGGGGTTAATCTCCATATTGTATAAAGAACTCACACAAGTGAACAACAAAAAAACAAACAACCCAATCAGAAAATGGGCAAA